ATATTTTAAAAAGATAGAAATAAACAATTGATTTACCGGTTTGTCAATTGGTTGGCATCTGTTTGGATGAGCTTCTTCTTCGTCTTGTATTCATTTGTGGCAAACGTTTGGCTAATATTCTCGGTTTCCAACGCCTTCTTCAGACACCCATAAGAGCCGAAAGTGTTGGATGTGTTGCTCTTATTGGCGGTCTCTTCAGACACGGACTTGGGATTAGCGGCCGACACAATGAGTCCCTTCTCGTAGTGATCAAAACCGGTGCGGAAGTCGTCGAAACTGATCCGTCCGTCTTTGTCGCTGTCGAGGTCTGTGAAGATGGCGTCCGAGTCTTCGGCCAGTATATGAAATCGGGCGCAGAGTTCGCGCATTTCGTCGCGACACAGATATCCGGACCGATCGGTGTCCCAATACGTGAACACTTGCCGCAGATTATCGTCCATTAAGTAATTGTTGTTATTATTCATGTTATTTAGCATATAGTTCTCCCAATGGTTGACCACAAATATGCTAAACATTGAAATTGTATTGTTTTCGCGATTTAGTATTATAGTAATAAGCGGTAGATTAAAATTTTATATGATTTAGTTTACATGATATGTGGTTTGCATTTACAGCAAATTTAATTATATTTGGTGTTTAAATATAATTTTTAATTTTTATGTTTGGCAACTGTTTGTGGCTTTTTTGCTGCCAAACAATTCACATGAGAAATAAATTGTATTAAAGCTTAATTAACTTACAGTTATAGGCGTCAGAAATGTTGAATTTTAATTAAGAAAAACACATGAATGTAGTTTTGTAATGTAGTGGCGAATGTTTCATTAAATCAATTGGCATTTTAACACATCTTCATATAAAATCATTACATAAAACACTGTTTTGAAATTCATTATATATTATGTATTAAACATATTTTTTATGTTAAATTAATAAAACTGATAAAAATTTAAATAATTAATATTATTTCTTAATATTTGTAGCAAAAGATTTATTAATTTGAATTTTGGATTAACTTTTGTTGATTAAAAACAATTACAGAAATGTTAATTGTATTTTAAATGTAGTAAAAACTTTTTGTCAAAAGGTTTTCATAATCTGATTGAACAATCAATGATAAGATTGAGATAAAAACACATTTCAAAAGTGAAAATCATATAAAATATGTGTTAAATATAATATAGATATTGAATAACAATATAATATAAAAGACAAAAACTTTATAATCTATTTTAGAGGCAAAGCCGATGAGCACAGCCTTAAAGCCATACTAAATATGAAATATAGTTTACATGTGTTTACACACCTGTTGTGAGAATATAATAAAAATACATTAGTATTTTGTTTGATTTTTATTTTGCTTTTATTTTTTGCTTTTTTCATTATCTCTGGTCTAAAGTATTCAGTAAACTATATATTAATTTTGTTTCTGTCATATATTTATCTCAGCGGCAATTTGTGTGTTCAGTATATGTATGTTATTTAACAATAATATGGGTTCAATAATACTGTTACCGCATTTAACTAGTATTATTATTATTGTGTATTTCTAGTTCACAATAGAAACTTCTACCATATTTAAGTAATTACAAATTATAAGTTAATAAAGTTTATTGTGTAAAAATTGATATATCGTTATGTTTTATATTTAAAAATCTACACAATTTTACAATTATTGAATGATTTTTGAACATTAATGCTATTTTTATGAGAAATTTATTAGAAATTCACACATATTAATCTAACGGTATGTGTGGGTCGTATGAAATTCTCGATTACCATTATTGTTTTGTCTACACTGTGTATAATGTCAGATGTTTTTGGTAAAATATACTTTGCTTTCATTGCCATATAGATTATATCATTGGACTCCTTATGCAATGTACTTTCATTTTATATTGTCAAATC